GATAGAACACTACCATCAACATATAGTTAGGCCTGTATCTCTTCTTGTGATTCTGCATATGTGAAATAAAAGTGTATACATGAATGTATACATTCTTATTTACATTCACACCATCATATATGAAGATTCCAGATACAGGAAAAAAAAGAGAGAAAACTGTGTTCCAGGAAGAGATTTCAAGGCAGGAGGCAATGGGTTAAATACAGTTACATGCCACATAATGACTTTTGGTCAAGGATGGACCATATATATGACAGTGGTCCCATAAGATTATAATGGAACTGGCTGGGCCTGGTGCCTCATGCCTGTAATCCCAGTACTTTGGGAGGCCAAGACGGGCGGATCACCTGAGGTCAGGAGTTTAAGACCAGCCTGGCCAACATGGCGAAACCCCATCTCTACTAAAAATAGAAAAAGTAGCCAGACACGGTGGCGCATGTCTGTAGTCCCAACTACTAGGAAGGCTGAGGCTGGAGAATCATCTGAACCTAGGAGGCGGAGGTTGCAGTGAGTCAAGATCATGCCACTGCATTCCAGCCTAGGTGACAGAGTGAGACCCTGTCTCAAAAAAAAAAAAAAAAAAGAAAGATTATAATGGACGTAAAAAGTTTCTATTGCCTAGTGACACTGTAGCCACCATAATATCATAGCACAATGCCTTACTGATGCATTTGTGATGATGCTGAGGTAAACAAACCTACTGTGCTGCCTGTCGTATAGTAGTCTAGCACACACAATTATGTACAGTACATAATACTTGATAATTATGATAAATGACCATGTTAATAGATTACACCATTGACTACACCATACTTCATATTGTGATTCTATAGTGTACTCTTTCTACAAATTAAAAAAAAAGTTAACTATAAAACAGTCTCATACAGGTCCTTCAGGAGGAATTCCAGAAGAAGGCATTGTTGGCCTACGAGATGACAGCTTGATGCATGCTATTGCCCCTGCAGACCTTCCAGTGAGACATGATGTGGAGGCACAGGATAGTGATATTGATGATCCTGACCCTGCATAGGCCTAGGCTAACCTGTGCCTTTGTGTATTCATTTATGACAAAAATGTTTAAAACGAAAAAAAAATTAAAAACAGAAAAAAGCTTATCCTTATTGAATAAGGATATAAAAAAAATATTTTTGTATAGCTGTACAATGTGTGTTTTAAGCTAGGTGTTCACGACAAAACAGTCAAAAAGTCTAAAAAAGTTAAAAGTTTATAAAGTTAAAAAGTTATGGTAAGCTACAGTTGATTTATTATTGAAGAAAGAAAGTACTTCTTATAAATTGCATGTACCCTAAGTGTACAGTGTTTCTAATGTTTATAGTAGTGTACAGCAGTGTCCAAGCCTTCACCTTCTCTCGCCACTGACACTCATAGCAACTTCCAGTCCTGCAAACTCCACTCACAGTGAGTGCCCTATACAGGTGCGCCTTTTTGAAAATCCTTTATACCGCATTTTTACTGTACTGTTTCAATGTTTAGATGCATAAATACTTGCCATTCTGTTAAATTGCCCACAGCATTGAGGGCAGAGGCATGTTGTGCAAGTTTGCAGGGCAGGAGGAATAGGCTATACCACACAGCCTGGGTGTGTAGTAGGCTGTATTATTAGGTAAGTGCACCCTATGATGTCCATATAAGGAAGGAATTGTCTAACAATGCATTTCTCAGAATGTATCTCCATCGTTAAGTAACATGTGATGGTACTAAAAACTGATATGAAAAAAGATCAGAAAATAAGACCAAAAAATTACGTGACTCACCCATGGGCATCAACCAGTGGACAATAGCACCTAGAACTGTTGTGTATCTGAATATAAATCTGCCGCTTCCGTAACCACACCACACTGTGCCTATGATTGAGCTTTTCTTGGCAAACAGGAACTTCTGTGGAAGTCTTTTCCTGCTGATTTAATGATACGACTTTTTGATTCGTCCCATGATCATGGACTGAAACCTGTGTTTGGACCCCTACACCTCCTTTGTGATGTGCCAATTTGTTTTAGACACTTAGTTTCATAAAGCTTTTCTGAATATATTATTCCAATTGTGCAAAAATCTGTGACTGGTGTCATCGTGCTCCTTTGGCACAATTTCAAATCTATGCAGTAGATCTGGTTTAAATTATTGGAGCTTTCTGAGCTTATGGATTTTTTCCAAAAGGCATGTGTTTTTTAAAAATAAATGAATGGGTGTTGACTACTTAGCATAGTCCCGATAATTGGTTGATTCGGTTCAAAGCTATGAGTTCCATTTTCTATAATCTGAACTACCCCTAACCTCTTTTGAAAACATGGCTTTTACTATCCACCTTTCTAGGCAACTTTCCTACTTACCAGCCTCCTTGTTCACATTTTGCTGCTGTTGGAAACAGGGGATATGTCTATGAACCCACTGGGGAAAAAGACAAGCAGACTATCTTTGTATTAATATGCATGCTGCAATGAATACACAATCAGAGGACAAGACTTGTTACATGATTCCCTTCTCATGCAACAGAAAACCGATTTACTTAATTGCCTGTGCTTAAGGGTAATGTCATCTTGTATGGCTTATTGTTTTATACTGATGGGAGAATATTAAGTTACTAATGGCACAAGTCAATAAAAAATTCATAGGCCATGAACTAGCATGTTAGAGAAAGAACAGAATTGGCAAGTGATAGCATCAATTTATGAAATTTCATGTTTCAGACACCTGACTTGTACAGAGATGACTTTGTGCCTTCTGTAGAACCTATCAGTGCTATGTAAATCAAGATAGTTAAATTACATTATAAACTCAAATGTTTTTAACTCCAAGCTTTTTGAAAGATGGCTGCAATCTGGCTCAGTCTTAGTGTGTCTTTGTAACTGATGCATATTACAATCAAACTACTTTGGATTTTTCAGTCTTTCATTATACATTTATTCAGCAATAGCTAACACAGAGGAATTGTATTGGATAAACTATTATCAACAGCTCACAACCCAGCTGAGAAATCAATCACAAACATAATTAACTTCATTATAATGGCAAAGGTGACTAATGTTTCAAATGGAATTCTTCAATAATTAAAAGAAGCAGAAGAGCTGGATTAGAGAAGCCTTTCCAAGATTGGGTAAGGAGTCTTTATGAAAGTAACATTTTAGGTTTCTTCTTGAGGCCAAGGGAAGAAGAAATTGTTAAATTTTAAGACAGCCTGAGTATGGAGTAGAGAGCTAGCTCGGAATATGGCGTATGCCTTTTGCTATCATGACAGAAAAAAGCAGTGACAATTTAAAAATAAATAGACATTTACAACAATCGTAAAAGTAAAGCTAAAAGATTTTAGCAATTTGTGAAGTTCTCAAAAGTTGTGAATCAGTCAGAACAATTAGAAAAGTAGTAATTCCAAAATGGAATAAATGGATGCTAGAAAATAGAAAGGGTACTAAAATTATACTTAATTATGGCTAGGTATCTAAATGTCTCAATTTCCCTTTTCCTTTTAAAAACTTTCTTTTTTCTGCACTGGCTTCCTAAGGTTGCCATAACGAAGTACCAAAAACTCGGTGGCTTAAAACAACAGTAATTTATCCTCTCACAGTTCTGACGGCTGCAAGTCTGAAATCAAGGTGTTGGCAGAGCCAGGTTCCCTGCAAAATCTCTAAGGGGAAACTCTTCCTTGCCTCTTCCAGCTTCTTGTGGCCCCAGGCATTCCTTGGCTTGTGGCAGCACACCTCACCTCTGTTCTGGGCCTTCATCCTAATTGGTCCATCTCTCCTCTGTGTCTGTGCTTCACATGGCATTCTCCTCTTTGTGTGTCTATATCCAAATGGCCTTCTTATTATAAAGACACCAGTTATACTGAATAAGGGCTTGTTTTAATCCAGGATGACCTCATCTTAATTTAACTAATGGCTTCTACAATAAGGCAATTTCTAAATAAGTTCACATTATGAGGTATTGGACATTAAGAATACATTTTTGGGAGGACACAATTCAACTCAAAACACCATTCTTTTAAGTTGCATATAATTTTAATATATTAACATGCCGATGTATACAAATACATACATTTAATAAGAAGTCTTTGTCAAATGAACACAGTTGAGTTGACCATCATGTGGCTTTCTGCTTTACTGAGGCCTGTATGTGAAGTCCATAATGACAAAACCAGACTTGACTGTCCACCGTGAACCTCTTTACCAAAAGAATGAAGGTGTCCTTGAGTCAGTGCAAACAGTCCCACAAGGGAAGCTAGCTTTGTCATTCCAGATTCATAAACATGCTGTGAGGCTTACCGTTAGTCTGGGTGGCTCAGCAGCATTAAGCCACTTCTTGACCATTCTCCTCAAAGGGACAATTTTTCCTTAAAATTTGTAATTCTTTCTAATGTGGAATCATCACAAAAGAGGAAGGAGACAGAATGGAAACATTTGAAAGCATTTATGTTGTGGAAACACACCGATCTGGGCTTGAAGTTCCACCACTAACTAGCTGAGTGACTCTGGCCAAGTTAATAAACTTCCAATCCTCAGTTTGTGCACCTGTACAATGAAGCATCTTACTGCTAATATCTGGTGGAATTGTGAGGATTAACGGTGATGATGTACCCTGGCCTGACACACTAATTGGGATCAAGCACCTGGAGGAGACACTTAGTAAGTGCAGCTTTCTCCCAATTCATCACATACGTGTCATGCTGAAAAAAAACACCTGTAAAAGAAAATCTTCCTTTCCATAGGATACTAACAAGAACAACAACAAAAATAATGAAAAGTAACATTTACTATAAATACAACATACATTAATTTTAATTGTAATTATACATTGAAGTAAATGTGTTCAATTTCTGGTAATTACAAAAATAAAATTAGATCAAAATAGAATTGAGAACCACTCAACCAAAACCACTCATTTAGAAAACATTTCTAGAGCATCGTCTATATGTCAGATATTTTTTAGAGGCAATGTGTTAGAGACACGTGCAATATGAAAAGTATGAGGAAAGTGCCACAACTTACCCCACCAACTTTCTCAAAGTGAGATCCATCTTTCTTAAAATCTGCAAGGGTCCCGTTGAAATACCAGGTAAAGATGATGTCTAACAGTGGGTCATGTTGTACCTGGCAGGGCAAGATGACGCTTTCACCAACAGAAACATCCATGTTAGATGGTGCCAAAGTTATTCTCGTTGGTTCTATTGGGGAAATAATTTTTCAGAAAAACAGCATTTTATTGTGACAAAAGACATTTGCAGAGGCAGACTGTTCATCTGACTTATATTCTGTATGTCTGTAGGTGCATATACATAAATATACATACATCTATATAATTAAAAGTATTCAATTAAAATAGCCATTTTGATGCAGAGCTGCATTTCACTGGATCCACAAATTCTTGTTAAAGAAATTCGGATATTTGAACTTGTAGGACATGTAAGTTTAAAAATTAAAGTCATGTGTAAACAACAGTTATATTATTATTAACAAAATCAATTTCACCTTAGTTTTATTGTGTTTTGAAATGTAGGGGTAGAAATAGAAAATACTGTGTTTTCACCAACTTTGACTAGAAATTACATTACCATCGAAATCTGAACAGACATTTAATGGTAGCCTGGATTTGAAAGATATAATACAAAAGATGCTAGAATTGGTACAAACAGGAGGGGTACTATGTTAAAATGTTAATTAATGTCTGTTTTCCCCCAATGTAAATGTCCACATGCACATTTCTTTCTCTCTGTCGTCACCACCTACCTTCCATTTGTCTATCATGAGTTAAAATTCTCTTGACCCCATTTTCCCACTGCTACTCCACATTACTTTGCACTATGTTGGATGAAAAGTTTTCAAAAGAGTCATTTACGCATACTGTTTACAATTATGCTAGTCAATTCCCTCTTTAACTCAGTCTAGCCAGGCTTTGGTCTTCCCAACTCCCCTGTCCTCACCAAGGTCCTCATAACCCTCCTGCTGATGTACCAAAAGGTATTTCACATCATGAACCTCTCTGCTCAAAACCTTGCAGTCGCTCCACTTTTCAATCCAACTGAAATAAATTCCTCAGAAGGTCTACAAACTGCTTGCATAATTATCACTTAGAAATCTGTTAATTGACACATTCAACTCCATGAAATCTTTTTCCAAATATCTCCTTCTCAGTGAGGTTTATACTGATCAACCTGTTGCTAATGCTCTAACTTACCTCTGCCACCATGTGCCTCTTTCTTGTTTACAATTTTTGCCTTCTAATAGTTTTCTTCTTTTTTATTCCTACTGTTATTTTCTTTCTCCTTTTATAGAAGGTAAGATTCATGAGGACAGTATTAGAGATAATGTGCTCAAGGATACAGCTCAAGCAACTGGCAGAGTAGGTGCTCCAATTTTTTCATGAATGGATAAATGAACAAAATATATCCACAACTTTAAGCAATTCTTATTTATATCCTGTTATTTAATGGACTTGAACATCTCCAGAAAGAAATCAACTATAATGAAAAAGACAAAGTGTATCCAAGAGACCTGAAGACCTATTTTAAATAATAGAATTTTATTTAAAAATAAAATAGAATGAGATCATTGACATATGCTATTTGTAACTCTTGTTGTCAATCATCCCAGCACAGTAAGTAATGTGTTCCGTGGTGCACGTTGTGCTGTGCTAAGGAAATATTGTTCCCTTGACTTTCACCTGTTAAAAATAACATAAGTGCAAATACAGGTTCTACCTTCATAGTGTACTGAACATTGTGAAAAACATAGTTAATTTCATCATAATAATATATCTTATAGTGAATCCGTACGTAAAGCAATATTTAAGAAATGGACCTACCTGTAACAACCAAATGTGTTGTGCCGTTTGCTTTCCCAAACTGGTTTTCTGCCATGCAGGTATAAGTTCCAGCATCAGCTTTAGTCACATTGGCTATTTTGAGTCCTCCGTCGTTTAATAGAGAAATTCTAAAGAAAAGACAAATAAGATAAAAAATGTATAATAGCCATTTTTTTTTCCAAATGAATATATATATTTTTACAGAACGTGTTGCCTTAAGCTAATATTTTTAAGGCATGATCGACCAGTCCTTAGATTTCTGGGAATACAAAAAACTAAAAGAAAATTGACTCCTCACTCACATACATAAATACACACACAGCATTGGATGACAAAAGACCCTCTACCAGTTCGAACTTTGTTCAATAGTTTTGCTCAGCATTACTTATTACACCTAAATTGAGAAGATGCACGTATCATATAAGTATGAAATTTTTTTCCAAAAATATTAATATATGTTGTGGTAGATTATTCATGGAGTTAGTTTAATCAATTTAAAAGAAATACAAAGTAGGCAGAACACTATTTCCCTTAAATTTGAAACAGTATATGAGAAACGAGAAGCTGCACGTCTTTTACTATGAACTGAGAGAGTCACATTGCCCCAATAAAAACCCAAATTTTCCAGAAGAACATTTGGGTGGTCCCCTGTGAGCTAGTGAAAAGAGCCTGGGCGAATCCAATAAACCTTACCTTAGAGTTTCTGAGTATACACTTAGAGTACTTAAAGCTTTGGCATCTGACTAATTAATTAAGGAAATATAACTGAGTGCTTTACATACAGTTGGCACTATAAGACAACCTGGGATTATGGGGTGTGCAAGACAAAAAGTCTTCACCTTCATGGAGATAATATTCCAGTGAGTAGCATAGACAACTGTATTAGTCTGTTTTCATGTTGTTGCTAAAGATATACCTGAGACTGCGTAATTTATAATGAAAAGGAGACTTAATAGACTCACAGTTCCATGTGGCTGGGGAGGCCTCACAATCATGGTAAAAGTTGAAAGCCACGTCTTACATGGTGGCAGGCAAAGAGGAAATGAGAACCAAGGGAAAGGGGTTCTCCTTATCATGAGACTTATTCACTACCACAAGAACAGTATGGGAGAAACCGCCCCCAAGATTAAATTATCTCCCACCAGGTCCCTCCCACAACATGTGGGAATTATGGAAGCTACAATTTAAGATGAGATTTGGGTGGGGACACAGTCGAACCATATCAACAACAAATAATTAAATAAGTAAAAATAAGAAGTTCTGATTTTTGAGAAGTACTCAGAAGGAGATAGAGAGGGTGATACAATAGAGAGTAATTACTTTAGGAGGAAGGGTCTCTAGGATAGGGTGCATTAGAAAAATCTCTTAGAAGTGGTGTCATTTGAATTAAAAAAAAGAGTGAGATGGGATTAACTTGTCATTAGTCTGATCACTGTATCTTTATTGCCCTAATTTGTCTCCTCATAATTATATTCCCTTTCTTTGAATTCCTAAAATAATTACTATCCACATAATGCATTTAACACTTGAGTGTCTTTATCTTTTATGGTTCCTATTTTTGAGAGATGAGTGAAAATGGATGGTAAACTTCTTAAAAATATTTGCAACCCCAGTATCAGCATGGCATCATATATGCAAACTGTGGTAACTAAATGCCTCCAAATTCTGGGCCATTCAGTTGAGTAAATAGGAAAAATACTGAGGACATTAGACTAGAATGAAGGATCTCAATCTGTAAAAATGTTTATTGCAAAATTTTAGGTGTGTCTCAAAAATGTTACTAGAAGAGTTTCTGTATAAAAAATGTACAAGATATAGATTTTCTATTTTATTTATATATGCATGTGTGTGTATATCTACATGTGTATATGTATATATATCCATAATATTTTTCTCCTCCAGTAGACTACAGGAGACTGACACTTAACACTTTATGTATATATTCCTTCATAGTCTATTATTCACTTTCACTTTCATCCTGGTTACACTTTCTTCAGTGAGAAAATCACGGTGGAATTAGAGCTAGCACACAGGTTCATGATCCTGGGTAGAGCTATCTATTACAGTTTGTTGTGCATATGATTTTTTTTAAAACTGTGTTAAAGTATATTTAAAATAAAAAGGTTTGGAGGCAATGACCTAGAAAGCTCACCAGGGACCCATGGCACTGCATGCTAACCTGAGGAACTACAGAGAAAGGTCAAAAATTCCAAGAACTTTCCTAGGAACTAAAAACAAAACAAAAAGGGACATATCTGATTCTCCTCACGGGAACCTGAGGGTTGTAATGCATTTTGTTGGGTGTGAAATGCCTCCCACAACTTTACTGGAAGAGATAATCAAATAACTTAAAAAAAATCTCTTTATATCTTAGCCTATCTGACAACAAAGATTTTCCCAATGAGTATGTAATAATAACTTAAAGAAGAAACCCTGCAGAGAAGTAAAAATAAATGAAAATTTAGGATATAAAGACTGGAAGTTTTAAGGAACCTGTAGAAAAAACTTAAAGACATGTCAATCTGATCACGTGATCCTGCCCTCCTCCCTCCACCTGTCCAGGCAAACCTTGCTTAGAACCCACTCTTTGGTGTCACATTGCCTGGGAGATACAGACTATATCCTAAACCTGAACCATATCCTCACATCAGGACCTCTGCTTCTCTCTAACTTCATATGGCTTCATGAATTCTTTCCCTTGCTTGCTTTTCTCCGATCACACAAGCCTTCTTTTAATGGCTTTTATGCTTCTTTTTGTCTCAAGGTCTTCACAAAAACTATTTCCTCCCTCTGGTTGACCTGTGTTCATCCTTCAGACATCACTTACTTTCCTGAAACCATGAGTTGGATTCGGTTTTCCTGTCTTTGATCAAAACATTATCTGTGCTTTCTTCATAACACCCATCAAGTGTCCAACTATATATTTGTGTGCTTATTTGACTAATATTTTTCTCTTCCAGTAGACTGTGTGCTCTCCAGAGGCAAGGACAATATCTAGCTCACTCATCACTAAATTTGTAGACCCCTGAAAAGTGCCTAGCACAGAGTAGACATTCAAAAATAAAACTTGTTGAATGAATAAATGACGGTATGCTGTTAGAGAGTCACTGTAGAGGAGTTCGGGTTAGTGAAGCTGGGTTGTAAGGCACTGACACCTTATAAATAATAAGGAAATAGATTCAGAAAGTGTGCAGACTAATACAAACACACACATACATATGCGTGAACTAATTGGATATATATATATAAAAACACACACACATATACATATATATACACATACATATATATATAGCTAGCCCTCCATATCTGTGGGTTCTGCATCTGCAGATTCGGTAGATTCAATCAACCAGAGACAGAATATATTTGAAAATAAACAGATAACAATACAGCAACAAAAAAGTACAAATGACAGAAAAATACAGTATAACAACTGTTTATACGGCACTTACATAGTAGTAGGTATTAAGACTATTTAAAGTATATGGGAGGATATGCATAGGTTGTATGCAAATGCCAAGCTATTTCCTGTAAGGGGCTTGAGTATCCATGGGGCTCTGGTGGATACCAAGGAAATACTATGTACACATATGTAGACACATTGTTTACATATATGTAGCAAAAAAGATAAGGCAATAGAATACTGAAAAAAGAGAATTTAGAAATGCCTTTCCCAGGATAAGAGAATTGAGAATATGCTTGCACTTGTTAGAGAATAAGTCAATAGACAGCGAGAGACTGAAGATAATGGGATGGAAAAAAGAGTGAGAGAGGAAACTGTCAGAGAAGTCTTGGAGGAAAGAGAGAGCATGATCAAGACTCATGCTCCCAACCCATCTGATTGCTAATCCCATCAGTAAAATTTTGGGGCCATGACACCCAAAGAGAATGATACTTGATCTGTAGTGTTGCTCAATAAATTTTACCTATCATTGTTATCAAAAAGAAAATGCAGATGTGATGGAGAATTTTAATATGCAAAGACCAGAAGCCAGCAGATTACATCAAAAGGTTGGGAAGATATTTAAATAATAAGGCAAACTAATCTGCCCTAAATTATAGGTTAGAGACAGAATGGGAAGCTTCAAGAAGTTGGGGATCTACCACTTCTATGATTAGTAAGCCTTAAAACAAAGTAAAAATGCTTCTTGTTAACTGAACATTATTGAACTTAAATTGATAGTTTCTGATTTGGAAACTACAAAACAGAGGTAGGTAATTTCAGGTATCTTCTACTATGCAATGAATTAGTTTAACAGCTAACTTTACACTACAAATACAGAAGTGCTAGGAACAGAGGAAGAACTAGAAATCCTTGTGTATTAGGTTTAGTAACTTTCATCAAGCAAACTTCAAGTCAAGCAAATCATGCCCATGTTGAAATGATAATGTTTCAAAGGCAAAACCAACACCTTTAGAATCACAGACAGACTTCAAAGCAAACATATGGACTCTCAAAGAATGCAAACTCTGTGTATATCGTAAAAATTTGAACTAATTGGATATTTTCTTCCTAAATTGGTTCTTCCAGTAAGTTCTAAGAGGCCCACAGGGCATTCACACAGCATAAAAATAAACAATATTCAGTAAATGAATGGAGTAATTGTTTCTCAACAGAAAACCTTCAATAACCCACGCTTCCCTACAGAGATTCAAAGTGAAAATTTTATACTACTTCACTATAAAAGAAATTGCTTTCTAAGTTTTCTGAGAATAGGTTTATCTGCAAATGGGTGGAGCTGGAAATGTAGATAACGAAGAGTGACTCTTGTCTTGGCACAAAATGTTAAATAACAATTTATGAAATTAACATTCAGGAATGCAGTACTCCAGTTTGCTTAGGGAAATGTGCAATTTAAATCACTGCAGCATTTTAACTCCTTGATCAGTTTTAATAATATACCTTTATGTGTACCTTTTTATTGGTCCTTCCTTTTGTAGTAGGAGGTTAATTATTTCATTTAACTTTGTGCAATCTATGGTTAGCTTGGGATAAGTAAATGTAATTGCTCAAAGCTGCTCTAATGGCTCATGCTGTAATTCAGTGATGGCATTAAATTTATGACTGTTAAAAAACCTTGTTTATTCACAAAGTATACTGTTGTCTAGGCAACATTGACCTGTACTT